AATAGTGGGTTTTCTTCATATAAGAAAAATAATGTTTCACCCTAAACCATCTTTTCCAACTACGACTTAGTGGGTTTTTTTCAATATTGGAACCTTCATGTAGAATACAAAAGAAACGACAACCCACATTGTTTCCCAAATTAATACCCATGGGGGAATAGACATCCCAAAGTTGCATGATATATTCCCATTACACGTAAATCATCCGGGCTACAAAATCCATCAACAAAAAGAACCATTTTTCAAAAAATACATCCAACTCTAGGGAGACTACCAAAAACTATTCATCCAATATGTACAAAAATTGCCCGTTCACATGATTCTGTGTATCTAGCGTAGCGTAGCTTGCATTTCCAGTTGCTGCATCATTGCCAAATATTGTCTCCATCTCATCATATCTTGGACAAAGTTTGGTCCTCCACTTCCCGAATTCTGGCTTTCCCTACAAAGTAGAGATGAATGATTCAGCCACATGATGATTGTAAAATAACCCTTCAAAAGCTGGAAGTAGCATACATTTTTCATTATCAAAACTGATGCATGATGATTCTGCGCCAGTCTGCCAATTATGTGATCACAGTAACCAAAAACTTCATATAAAAATAAATCAAATTGAGTACATAATCCCTCTGCCATTTATCTGCATTGACAGTTGCTTATTTACATGGTTTATAAACAAAAGTACAAGCTAATCCAGGAATCTTTAAAGCTGGAACCAATAAGGTAATTAAACTTTCTTTAGCATCCCCTCTAGAACCTCTAATGGAGCATCATTAATTAATAAATGACTAGAGTATCAAGACAGTAGAACCTATATGAAATTTATCTTTCAAGTTAACTAACAACAGCAAACAAGTTGCCACAGCAATGCACCCAATCCCAATATCTGATACCAATTTGCACCTTGCCATCAACAACTTTTCCAAGTTCTCAACTTCTGCAATAGCAGCCTCCCCAGCATTCGTCAACTCCATTACATTGGATAAATCCAATTCAACCAAACCCCAACCCTTGCTTGCCAAACTTAACAATCCCATATGAGTAAAAAATTTTGAACTTTTCCAGATTAATGGACCTCAAAGTAGACCCATATGCATTATATATAGACAACAATACTCTGTCCTCTATGACCATCATCAGGAAGTTTTCTTACTCTTTTACTCGGTTTCCAGAAAATGAATCTGGTCAAGACACTTTCCATTGGAAACCCTTTCCATTGGCCACTCAACAAGTGACAAGATTTATATGAATACATATGGCCCCTATCGTAGCAGCATAAGTTATTTATGAGACGGTAACAAATCTTAATCACATAAATAATTACTATAATCAGAAAACACGTCTCTAGCTTTAACACTTCCACTCTCCTCTCAAAAGTTCTAGCACCGAAGACCTCTCTCTCTCTGTTCCACCCTTTCTCTCTCCCCTCACAAAAAGCCGAATTAATAAGTACTACGATTCATAGAACTGAACAGTTAAAGAAGCCTAAATCACTGCAGAATATAACAACTTATCAGACACTCAACAATCTTTAAAACAAAATTCACGCTGATGAACCAAGCCATAAATCAAGAAGCTAGAATCAGCTGGAGAAAAGAATTCTCAAGGCCTGAGAGCAACAACCTACAAGTTACAAGATGCGTGGATTTAAAAAAATTGGGATAAACAAACTAGTTAAAAAGCAGAAATATAAGTAAACTGATTGCAACAACAAGAAATGAGATGCAGAGAACAAAAAAAAAAAACTTCAAATCGGGAGGGCATGGTTAACAAGAAGATGTTCAAGTCAAACAGACTACGGTAAAATCATTAAAAAAGCTCAAGAGAAAAATTGGGAAAAGCTCAAAAACGAGAGACCTACATATAGTAAGAATCAATAATCTCATCAAAGACGACACAAATTTGCCAAAATTTCTGTGCAAGTCAAAATATACATTTGCCAATTTACAGAAAATCCATTGGCGACATGGAAGAAAATCCAAGTACATGGGCATGGATGAAAATCCAAAAATAACAAGTAAATTGAAACACCATTGGCGACAACCCACAGTTCGAAATGTACAATTCCAACAAATGGGCATCGAGATTGCAGATGTAACACAGAGAAGGGCTTAAATCCGTAAACGAAACCGTGAAGTAGCTCAGTGTATGAACCAGCAGTGATGAAATTACTGAACAGAAACCAAAAAAAAAACCCGAACAAATTATAGCTACGAAACCTACCTGTTTCTACGGCGGAGGAAGCGACGCAGCGTTCGCCGTGAGAGACAACAGCAGACAATGGTCGTCGGCTGGGTTCAACTAGAAAACGGTAGCAATCAATGCTGCGTGAGAGGGCAAATTGAACGGCGTCCGGTGTCGAGAGAAGGTCTGGGGAAGAAAGGGTTCGATTTTATGGGGTTTGATTTTCCTAATTTTCGTGGAAAATGTTTTACCTGCTCTGAGACGAGAAATATATTTCAAGGACTTCAGGGAAAAGAGGTCACGTGACGGGAAAATAGGAAAATATTTTTACCTGCTCTGAGACGAGAAATATATATCAAGGACTTCAGGGAAAAGAGGTCACGTGACGGGAAAATAGGAAAATATTTTTTAGGTAAAATTTGACACATCAAACAGGACAAAAAGTGGGAAAATGGAAAAAAATTTCCACTTTCCTTGGAAAATATGACTTATCAAACAGGGCTTAAGTATGAAGTTGGACTGCCATTGGTGCCCTTTCAAATCAGTGCGACTCATATTAATACTTCTTTTATCTTCATATTAAACTACTTGCACTTGAATTTTAAGTTGGCAGTCCACCTAATTTCAATAATTGAACGGCAATTACAAATTCAACCACATTACCCCGTTGTGAACGAATATGACAGCTTCCTGTATTTCTCACAGAAAATAAAGAGCGCTGTTGAAAAACGTATAACATAACGTGAAGAACCCAATCTGATTTCAGCTTTTCTACAGGTTTTTTCTGGCCACGAATTTTACAGTGATTGAAATACGTCAAGGAAATCCAACATAATTGATATATATCAAAAAGGGAGATACGTTCTCATTACAGCTCGGATAAATACAAGTACGACATCAAGGCCGACGACAGTCAACTCAAGGTTTGCGTACAAAAGAATCCAGACATCCTCGGACCAAATGACAAGACTCAAACCAAAACGGTAGAAGCATTTACAGCGAAAACACATCCCCACGACATTTTACAAGTCTTTAAGCAGCTTCTATATCTGCAACAGAACCATACAAATACTGAGTCATGGAATGTATATCTTTTCAGCACATAAATTCGATGAGCACAAGACACTACATTTACAGGGTATACAAACAGGATGGACATCTGGCTCCTCATTGTGTTCACATTCGCCAGAAGTACCATAATTAGGCATTTGAATCTGTTGGTGAATCGTCTTTCCAACCCTTCGTAAGCAAATCGTAATTGATTGATGCAAGCTGGGACAGATTCTGTCGAATAAAAACAGAGGCAAAATCAGAGAGTATATCTGATGAAAATTTAGCATGCATGCAATTTGGATGAGTTCCCTTGGCGAGTCAGGTTGACCACAACAGTCAAAACCATCTCATCCATTTGGAAACCCGGAGGTGGGATGGGGTATATAATTATTGATTGTAGTTGTTACCATCGGAAAATTACATGCATGGAAGGAGGAAATATCCAAAAACACTCGGCCACATTCAGTAAGGTACAATATTAAAGAAGAAAAAAATAAATATTGTCATCGAACTATCTAAATCCAGTCCATTAGGACCATTACTGTGGCATAACCATGCAAAAGATTACCTTAAACGAAAAATTGCTAAAGGAATAATTGATAGCAGAGCCTGAGTCAAATTCTGCGAGACCGCCATATTCATCTCCATGTTTGTCGTCCTATCCAAAATAATCCGAATTAAAATTATAAACCAGAAGGGCTAAGATACATAGCATTCAAGTTCAATTAGTAGGAAAGCACAGCACCAGTTCATCATGTCGATTGCTTAGGCAACTGCTGCTACCACTTATGCTACCATTGTCACTAGAATCTTCAAATTCACTAACTGCGTACACTTGTTCTTCTGCAGTATTCCAAGAGAAACGGCTTGTAAAGTAACTTGTATCCAGTGGACTTTCCGAGGCAGGGATGAATGCAGCCTGGGAGATGGAGAAGAATTACAAGGCATCAATAATATGGTATACTTGTAACTTTTTGTTTTCAAACATGCTTGAATATGTCATTTTCTCAAAGCCACTTAGTTCGAAAGTAACTTACTCTCAAAATAAGTCACTTGCTTATTGCTAATTTTGAATTTTGATTGATTAAGAAATTATTATAAAATTTACTTATTATACTAATAGTCTAATAGAAGCTTTGCCAAACATGCTAAATCCAAAAACTTATGCACAGAAAAGCACACTGAATTGTGGGAGACAGTCGAACCTTCTGTCTAGCAAGCGTATCCCAGTTAATATCTCTAAAATATGGATGCTGCTTCACCTGTACAATAGATTTTATACTTTGATCAATTATCACGAACATATAATTAAAAAGGGGCCATCTGAAATAATAAGAGGAACTAAAATGACCTCTGAGGCTCCTCTAGCTCCAAGTCTCTGGTTAGGATCTTCTGTTAGTAATCTGAAAATCGATACGAAATCAAGAAGTCGACAAAGAATTCACAGTATTTCCAGATTCATATTCAACAATTTGGAGAACGCTTTAAATAAGATATGTTTATGTAAGAAACAATGTCATTAAGTCAGTCATTATGATAACCAGGATATTGAGACCACAACTAATCATCACAAATAGAAACAAAAATTTTCTTACTGATCAATCAAATCGTGTGCTTCATGGCTCATTTCTTCAGGGAACCGAGGCCAAGGAATATTGCGGTTGAGAATATTATCAAAAATTTTCTGAGAGAAATACAAAAATTATAAGGAAGACAACGGAAGGTACATTTTTTCTGATAAATTATATGAAAACAACCAAAGAAGGTACTTGATAATTTTACCAAACAGTATTGATGATGAACAATGCTACATGTACCACATTGGGTTACAACCTCTCACAAGGGAGGTGGGCACAGTGATTAAAATAATAGTGGGCCCCACCTCCCTTGTGAGATGTTGTAACCCAACATTGTACAAGGAGCATTATTCATTGATGATAGATAACATAAATCCAAAACATTTTCACCATTGCCCCGACTGCATGAGAATTCAAGAATTCTATACATGAGATTATTAGTGGCAACTATCCATAAAATTACAAACGCACTATGGCAGGTGTCACATGCAACTTGCAACCTTAACATCTTTTAAAGTGGTGAAAATTTAAATGTACTGTTAAGCCACATGCTTCAGAGTTCAGGAATTTCTCGTGCAATCATTTGTGCCAGTAAATAGAATATCTAAGAGAGTGGGCCTCAAAAATTAAGAGAGAACTGGCCAAATGAACTAAACTTTTAAATTAGGTAACTTTCTCTTCGTTCAGTAACTTTCCTTTTTTACTGTGAATGTTAACCATATATAATAGTAGTTTTTCAAGTACACAAACTATTCACAGTTGATAAGTGAGAGATATATAAAATTCTTCCTCTCCAAATTCTTTTCTCCGTTTCTCTTCGTTATTTCTCCTTCTCTCCCCCATTCTGAACCATCATCTCTTGTTCCACTTTCCACTAATTGTACATAAGTATTTAGCTCTTGAAAGTAGCTGGGAAGTATTAATGCAATACTTTTTTTATTATTTTCTATAGCAACACTTCCCGAGTTCACAATTCAATAAGGATCTGACAGACAATTCTTTGCAGGAATCTATACGTCTTTATAGAATTCACAAACAATCTGAGAACTGCATTCTTTTAATTTATCTTATTATCATTTCCCTGGAAAAAAAACCGTTAAATCAAGGTGAAAAGTTATGTGGGCCAAAGACAAGGTCCAAAAACACATAAGTCATACATGAAGGACCTTTAACTATTCAGTAAACACCAAGGAAAAAATGATGCCATTCAAGTCCTGGTAAACAATCGTAAATAAGAGATGAAATAAAATTATAGAACAATATTCAACCTGAGGATGCTCTGCATTGAACGGCGGAATGCCAACAATCAACTCAAATAGAATAATACCCACAGACCACCAATCAGCAGTAAAGCCTGAAAATGCCGAAAATACTCAAATCAAAGAGGCACGACAAGGTCTAAGAGAACCATAGAACAATTTTGACGGCAATACGTTTTCAAGTCATGTCATAATGTTTTTAACTAACCAACATGACCAAAATGATGAAAGCATAAGTAAAGATATCATACAACTATAGGCAGCACTTTAATTAAACCTGTCTTTTTTCTCAGGGACAGATTGCTATCAACCATTCAAGGTTTACATCCTGAAACTTATTATAAGGTTCATTTTAACATCTCATAATGTGGTGTGGGGGGGGGGGGGGGGGGGGGNCGTGATTCAACTGTTTGAGTGAGGAGCCAGTTATGATTTTGCTTAGAGTCTTCATGGTGATGTCATTTGAGTATGTGGAACGGGTTATTATTTTCCATTAACATTTATATAGTGAATTTCACTAATTTATTTAAAACAAAAATATAAAAAGGAACAATAACAAACCATGCCCAGTTCCTAGAAGAATCTCGGGTGCCAAATAGTCAGGTGTACCAACAGCAGAGCGTTTCTTACGCCTTTCCCGCTGATGCTCAGATGCAGACAATTGTTGCTCATCATCTTCCATTAGCGATGTTTCACTGACAGCTGGACCCGATAAATCATCAGTGCTGTTGATTAAACCAACTTTAGATAGCCCAAAATCTGTCAACTGGTCAATTCAACAATAAATCAGCATCTATAGATTGGAATGCATTGAGTTAGGCTCATTAGAATGCAAGCATAGCATCTCTAAGTTTTTACTGCATCAGTATATTCAGAGGGAAAAAAATAAAGTTAAATATAAAAAGAATTAAGCTCGATGAGCTTTACCTATTTCTAAAGATGAACTAAGAAAATACTTGAAGTGTATTTTCTTTTTCATAAAATATGTTCATTATATTAAAATACTATGAAGTAGACAAAGAAATTTTACTTATTGAAATTAAAATCATATTATAGCATAGGAAAAGCAATTAATGGAGTCTAATGTAAATGCTTGGCCGTGAAAGAGAAAAAATCTAGTGCAAATAAATACAAGATTGGAAAACTTAGCAACACAGTTCCACAAAGAAAAAGAGACATGAAAAAAAATAAAACGGTTAAAAGAGTCCATGGCCAAATAAATATTCTGTTTAATGTTACCTAGCCAAATTTACAGTGATAATTCACGAGTAGTACTATGGTACATTACCGTGGCATCATTAGCAAAACAAAACAAGAGAAAAGAAAAGGCTGGAATGGCTATATGTAGAATTGGTACAATTGAAAAAATCGTCAACTTTTGACAAAAAAAAAAAAAAAGAAGAGAAATGCCCTCAAAGCTCACGACTACATGATTAGTGACAGCAAGATGGTCCCACTTGATTCTGTCAAAGTTGAATTGTCTAATGGATCCGCTAAAGGAGCACCATAAGAATCAATCCACGGAAATCATTCTAAATTTGAAGTTTCAAATCAGCAAACTCGTACAAATGTCCCCTACCTCTTATTTTCACTTACACTTTTCTATTTCTGGTGGTTTCTCCTTGACTACATTTTTAATAAAGAATCCCACATACAAAATTGGAAAAAAAACATATCTTAAAAACAAAAGCCAAACCCTCAATGAATACAAAATATATAAAATGTGAGTATTAAAATAGCAATGCAAAAAGAAAATAAAAATAGAACACTGGAAAGAAAAAGATATAAGTTACCTTGATATGACCATCATGTGCAATCAACAAATTATCAGGCTTGAGATCACGATGAACCACACACATAGAATGCAAATACTCCAGAGCAAGCACCTGACGACATCAGAGTCTCATATATATATTGCATTCACTTAAAACAAAGCAAAAGGGAGAAAAAAAAAAGTGAAATAAGAGTCATCAACAAGAAAACTTACAACTTCAGCTATATATACACGAGCAATATCTTCATCTAAACAACCTAGATTTCTCAACAATGAATAAAGATCTCCACCATTCAAGTACTCCATCACAAGATACAAGTTTTCACGACAAGTGAACGAATAGAAGAAGCGAACCTAACACATGAAGTATACAAGTTAAAAAGAGAAGGTATTTTAACAGGATAGGGTAAAATGCTATGCCAGCTACACCTTCTCACCACAAAAGGATTGCGAACTGAGATCAATATATCCCTTTCGGCCAAAATACTCTCAACTGCATTCTTACGGATCATATCTGCCTTTTTAAGCACCTGCAGAATACATAGTAAGTTGGTGCCCTTTGAAAATACATCTAGTAGTGATATAATAATAATGCTTTAGTTTGGCTATGGGAGTGCGGATGGAAGCAAGCTAAGGGATATACCCACAAATAATGCAAGTTCTTGTACAAATTAAGCATGCCACTTTACAAAGGAAACCATAAGATAGATTGGGTTTATGTTATAGTGTGATTGCATCCCATTTTATGCTTTATAAAGCCATGAAAAGCAATGCCTCAATTTTGTTGATCTAGAAACATCATAAAGATGAAGTCTCGGCTACGGGAAGTTTGAGTAAAAGCCAAGAAAGCAGGAAAGACCCGGTGATGGAGATCAACAAAGACATTTTATTTAATGGTTGCCAAGTTTGTATATTAAGAGTGTGTTTGGAACACATTCTTTTGAAAGAATGTATTATTGAATAGTAGATTGATGGAGAATGTGTGATTAAAAATGAAGGAAAAGTTATTGATGTGATGGAAAATATTATTTTATTGAA